AAGACCTGAAAGAAGCAATTTGAATTACCGCTCAAGCAATTAAAAACATGCACTTTACATAAGATATTTTGGCAAAATAAAGAGATGTGTACAGTCATGTCTTGAAGTCCCTGGTGAACATTTACAACGCCGGTTATAATGAATATTTCACTGGTACTTTCTAGAGCTTCCCCCAAAATAATATTGGACCACAGCAATTACTAACTAATTTAATGACTTTCTAAGCACAGTTTTTTGATGACACCATATAATTTTAAATTTTTTTTTTCAGATTTGTCCTGCACACAGTGTGTATGGAGACTTTACAAACACCTTGTAAAGACCATATATTGTTTAGAGCAGTGTTTCCCACACTTTTCTTAGCCGCACGCTTTTTTTTTTTTTTTTCAATGAAAATTTTTCCACGGCGCCCTAACCTAAGTAAAAGTGTGGCTATTCGTATGTAAAAGATTTTAAAAAAAAAAAAAAACTTGTGTCTCTTTTAATATTTCGCGGCGCCCCTGTGAAGAGCTCACGGCTCCACGGCTTACAGTTTGGGAATCAACAGTTTAGAGGAATCAGCATTCAGTGTGGTCAACATTACTTCCTAGGTCATTCCTTGTTACCATTTTTAGGCGGCGTCAATTAACAACAACAAATCCACTCCCGTGACGATTCAAACCCTGGCAGGCAAGCAGTCTAAACATGCACCTCCTCCAGCATCTACATATTGTTGAAAACACAAAATTAAATCAAGCATAGTTACCCTACTGCAGCTGATATCAGAAAAGTCAAAATGAACCATCCTCAGCTGAAGAAACACATATATATTAACTCTTTGAGTCCCAGAAGGTCACAGCTGATGGCCGAGGGAGGAAATAATGACAAAACCAAACTTATACTACACCCATAGGGGCCAAATACACAACTCTTGCAGGAAACACACTGTCACAGTCCCTGATTACCTCGCTAGGTACCAAGAAATGCATCATGCATTGATTTATAACTAATTTAATTGTCTTCTTATACTGAAAGAGTTAAAACACAAAATGTAAACAGCATTCTCAACATGCTGACTGGTGTAAGCGAAAAATATGAAAGCACTACCTCAGACAGAAAAAAAGTTCACAGTTCCATAACTCCTTTATTTCAGAGCAACACATGATGTATGATTACTTCTAATTGATTAATCTCATCCCTCAAATAGTGTTCTCCAACTTACTAGATTTGATCAGACCATAACTGTACTGAAGAAATCTGCCTACTCCAATAGCCATTTTCAATGCTGATTGGAAAGTAAAGCATCCATATCCATCTCTGTGGATTCCCACATCTGGGGATTTCCTGAGAAACTTTCTGGGATTGAACTTCTCATCCACCCATATACATGAATCACAGAAACAAAGAACACTCAACTAAAATATAATCTAGCAACATCACAAGTATCAGGGCAAAGACATGAAGATCAAACATAAAGAAAATAGAAATATTTCTGAATCGATGAATATCACAGTTAGAAACCGTTTTCAGACAAGACAGCAGTTTCATCTGTGTCTTGTCAGCCACATTTTAGCCTTCAGTCACTAGATGTACAGAGAAAACACCTTATTGTTCTATGTTGTTACAACAGAAAACCTCAATGCCCACTAGGCATTCCTATCCATGCTCAATCCTTCAATGCAGCAACCAACCCTTCCCTTATGAAATTAAATAAACTGCCAGGTGAAGAGAGCTGTTAGTTTTCACAAGCTGATTTGCCAGGTTTATTGCTCACTAGCAGCTAATAAAAACTTCAAATAAACTGCCAGTTGAAGAGAGCTGTTAGTTTTCACAAGCTGATTTGCTAGGTTTATTGCTCACTAGCAGCTAATGAAAACTTCAAATAAACTGCCAGTTGAAGAATGCTGTTAGTTTTCACAAGCTGATTTGCCAGGTTTATTGCTCACTAGCAGCTAACGAAAACTTTAAATAAACTGCCAGGTGAAGAGAGCTGTTAGTTTTCACAAGCTGATTTGCCAGGTTTATTGCTTACTAGCAGCTAAGGTAAACTTTAAATGAACTGCACAAGTCCAGTAAAGATGTTTAACTGTCTAAGAGAACTGTTGCTGTTTAAGGTGACTGCTCACATGCAGGTAATGAAGATTATTATTTAAGGAAAAAACAATCTTCTGCAGCTGCTGGTTTATGTCACCAAATGTTTTTCTGACTCTAACAGTTAAAGTACATTTGCTTATCCTTGACAGGACATTGCAGAACCAACCCCAGCATTTTTTGGCTGTTGTGGTTTTTCTAGGCAAATTTACGCCTTTCTGGACAGTCACCTTCTCGATACCACTGTCGAAACCAGCGCAAGGCCTGCAGCTGGGATCGAACCCAGCAACCCAGCATTACAAAGCGGGTGCATAATGGCTAAACCACAGAGGCCGACATTACAACTGTAGGCACTGCAATATATGTACATGTTCTGAGGCAAGTAACTGGCAGGTAAACAACAGAATTGTCATTTTGGAAGTTACGCCAATGGAAAGGATTTTTTTCAATTTAAATATGTCTACATGTTTTAGGTGAAAATAGTATGGTCGTGTTGGTGATCTGTATTGTTGAGTAACTGGTAGTTAACTGACGCTGCCTTCTGTGTTCTGTTAAGTCACTTCTCAGTATATGGCACAAAGTAGCAGTTCCCCTACTGAGCTGAATCAGTCATTATCCTTTAAAGATAATGTGAAGAATGAAGAACTGGGAGCAGGATAAAGAGATATACATGAAAAATGTCTATAAAGAAAAAAATAAAAGCAACTATTACATCCAAGCGGGGGCTGCCATGGTCTGGCGACTAGACCTCGACTGCCGATCGGAAGGTCATGGGCTCGGTTCCTGACAGATGCCGGACTTTTTTCAAACAATGACTCTTGGTTCCCAGGTCGACCCAGCCTTGAGTGGGTACCAGGTACAGTCCTGGGAGGTAAAGGTGATCAACATAATACTGACCACATCACCCACCAAGTACCGTTTGGTCTATAAAATATAGGTCTATATACTCAATACACCTGAAGGAGTGAAAAGGGGTCCTTAACTTTTTTATTTTATTTGATTACATCCAAGCAATCCGAGAAGCAAATCAACTGAGGGGTGGATATTATTTTTAAATCTATGACATCGTGTAACAAAGAAGCTGATCAGCTAGCAATCTGGGTGTCTAATCTTAGACTCAAAACACAACACAAAAAGCAGCACACAGAAAAACACATAAATCTCTTATTGGCAAGACAACGCCCAAACCCAAATAAAAGGAATTAAGATAACCGTTCTCCAAATACCAAATGGGAGCTAGTTACCGCCGTTTGCAGCACAGCAGACACCAGAAGTGTGAGATAACCTACCTAAGAACCGCTTATTTGCATACTGGCAAGTCTAGGGTTACCAGATTTGGTAAAACAAGAAAACAAGAGTGACAACTTGGTGCCTGTTTATAACGATATTTTCCACTACTAAACAGGCTGTAAAATATGCATAATCAACATACCGAACTTACTCAATAAGAACAAAATCTGGGCGGAACCAAAATCCAGAAAAAAACGGAGCATCTGGCAAACCTGGGTTTGAAGTTAGAACCCTAGGGAAATCTACTTACAGCCAGTGGTCTTCCACCCATTACCCTCTTATTTGGACAACCTATTAAGGTATGACCACTCTAGGGCTTCAATGAGAACGTGGACAAGACACAGATAAAACTGTCAAGACAGCTTTGAAGCATATTAAAGAGCTTACTTTTTTAAAATCAGATGCTATGAATGCAGAAATGTGTGCAGCATTTGACATACGCTACCTACACAATTCTCCTCCTAGCTCCATTTTCTAAATTGAGGGGGGACTGACCTGGTAAGTAGACATATTTAAAACTTTCACCTGGTCACACAACTACAACACGATTTCAAATAGGTCACAATAAAAATGTCATCTATATTCGTGTACACATAAAGATGTCTATGTGCTTGCAGAAGATATTACCTATCTACTTGTCAAATCAGAGTAAAGATGTTTTCTATTTGCTTGTGCTTGTACAAAACATTACTATCTACTTGTCACATCATAGTAAGGATGTTATCTATCTGCTTGTGCAAGTAAAGATGTTATCTATCTGCTTGTGCTTGTACAAAACATTACCTATCTACTTGTCACATCATAGTAAGAGATGTTATCTATCTGCTTGTGATCTATCTGCTTGTGCAAGTAAAGGTGTTATTTGTGTACATGCACACAAAACAGTAAAGATGTTAACTTTCCTGCTCAGGTAAAAAACAAAGATGATATCTATCTTCTTACTCCAGTACAAAAAGATGCTATCTATCTTCTGGTACAAGCCCAGTAAAGATACATTACTGGTCAGCCCATGACATCTTTAAGATTCCCTATTTTAAGCAGTCTATTTCTACTGTTACACCTTGCTATCATCCTGTTCACACAGAATTACATTCGTCCCTTGTGGGATGCAAATTAATTTTTGTTTATTTTTAAACCCCACCCTGGCTTTTGAAATGGAACCCTGAATATAGCCGGGCCATTAATGTGGCCTAACAGCTGAAGGGGTTTTCCGGGACCTCTCGGCGGGTGATCCTCATCCGCATGGTGGCACCGTGTCACCGGGTGTTAATCGCTTGATTTGATGTCCTGGTGGGGTACAGCTTACCTACCTGCTAGACCTATATTTTTTATAGACCAATCAGAACTTGGCGGATGATGTAGTCAGCATCACGTCGGCTGCCTTTACTTCCCAGGACTGCACCTGATAACCACTCTGGGCTAGGTCGACCTGAGAGTCAAGGTCATTTTTAAAAAAAGTCAGACTCTGTCAGGACGCCAACCCACGACCTTGTGATCCGCAGGCAGGAATCTAGCCGCCAACGCCACGGTGACTCTTATACTTGGTTCTGTATTAAATCATCTGTCGTACAACTCTCTCTCTCTTGCCTTTCATAGTTCACATCCCATACTTGCACCCCACACAACTGAGGCAGTTCAGATTACAGATCTAGTTTCTCCACTTTAACAACAATCTTTCCTTGCCACAGCGGCACAATGACATTGTCATCTGCAATGTCCTCAAACACTGCACCAGCACTGTCTCCAAACTCATCGCTGTGACGCTTGAAATAATATCTGAAACAAGAAATAACACAACAGCTGATTTAGCAGTGTCAGGCTTGTACTCCAATCAACAATATCAGACAAGTATTCCACTTCAAAACATCAGATTGTATACCACTGAAAAAAAATCAGACACAAATTCCATTACACAACATTAAACTTATATATCATAAACAATATCAAACATTTATTCCACTGCACAATAACAGACTTGTATACCGTTAGACAATATCAGATTTGTATTCTAGTTACAATACCGAACTTGTATTCCAGTACACAATATACAGCTTGCATTCTAGTAAACAAAACTACACCTCTATTCTAGTAAACAATACCAGACTTGTATTCTAGTAAACAATACCAGACGTGTATTCTAGTAAACAATACCAGACTTGTATTTTAATCAACAATACCAGACTTGTATTCTAGTAAACAATACCAGACTTTTATTCCACAATACAATACCAGACTTGTATTCTAGTAAACAATACCAGACGTGTATTCTAGTAAACAATATCAGACTTGTATTCCACTAAACAATACCAGACTTGTATTCTAGTAAACAATACCAGACGTGTATTTTAATATACAATACCAGACTTGTATTCTAGTAAACAATACCAGACTTGTATTCTAGTAAACAATACCAGACTTTATTCTAGTAAACAATACCAGACTTGTATTCTAGTAAACAATACCAGACTTGTATTCTAGTAAACAATACCAGACTTGTATTCTAGTAAACAATACCAGACTTGTATTCTAGTAAACAATACCAGACTTGTATTCCACTTTAAAACACCAGACTTGTATTTCCCTATACAATATCAGATCTGTATTCTATTAAACAATTCTAGACTTGTATGCCAATATACAATACCAGACTTGTATGCCACTATACAATATCAGACTTGTATTTCACTCTACAGTATCAGATCTGTATTTCCCCTATACAATATCAGATCTGTATTCCCCTATATAATATCAAATCTGTATTCCCCTATACAATATCAGATCTGTATTCTATTAAACAATACTAGACTTGTATTCCCCTATACAATATCAGAACTGTATTCCCCTAAACAATATCAGATCTGTATTTCCCTATACAATACCAGATCTGTATTTCCATATACAATGTCAGATCTGTATTCTATTAAACAATATTAGACTTGTGTTCCACTATACAATATCAGATTTGTATGTCCCTATACAATATTAGACTTTATTCCACTAAACAGTATCAGACTTGTATTCCACTATACAATATCAGATCTGTATTCCCCTATACAATATCAGACTTGTATTCCACTATACAATATCAGATCTGTATTTCCCCTATACAATATCAGACTTGTATTCCACTATACAATATCAGATCTGTATTCCACTATACAATATCAGATCTGAATTCCACTATACAATATCAGACTTTATTCCCCTATACAATATCAGACTTGTATTCCACTATACAGTATGAGATTTGTATTCTCCTATACAATATCAGATCTGAATTCCACTATACAATATCAGACTTTATTCCCCTATACAATATCAGACTTGTATTCCACTATACAGTATGAGATTTGTATTCTCCTATACAATATCAGACTTGTATTTCTCTATAAAATATCAGACGTATTTCTCTATACAATACCAGACTTATATTCCACTATACAATATCAGACAAGTAGTCTCCTATATAATATCAAGCTTTTATTCTCTTATACAAAATAACTCTATTAGGAACACAAATCTTTGTGAGAAGGTGGTAAAATCAGCTGCTTCAGGTCCTGACGTTTAATTTCGGACTTCAGTTTGCAACTATAAATGTTTCAGAGACCCTAAGCTTTATAGTCAAAAGCTACAGAGTTTGGTGCGTTGTGCTATGCTCTTGGAGGTGACCAGACATTTTGCGCAGATAGAGTCGTATGGGGATAAAACCTGGTTAAACAAGGCCAGTCCTCTCGACTTTGGACATTCTTTCTTTTTATTTTGTTGTTCTTCCTTGCTTGCCCTTAAAAGGGTGGTTGACATGCTATGCTGTGGTTTACAGCTAGGCTGTGTGTTTTGTCCCAACATATCCGGTTTCATTAAATTAATTACTAGTTGCCTTCTACAACATGCTTGATTTGTGGTATATGCACCCCCCTCCCTCTTTTTCAAATTAGATTCCAGATCTACACATGAATAAAACACCCAGGAAGAGTTAATTAACATAGAGTACTCACTTGTAAGGTCCTCGTTTGGTGACTAAATTTTTAATCTGTGCCAAGGTGATGGCCCTTCCAGGTAACTGATGCCTGTAGGGTATAGGTTCCTGGCCCATGTAAATCCCGATTACAGTGTCACTTGAACCAGGCGGAAGCGGTGAAGATGTGCATGCAGAAGTGCGCTGGCTCACTCGTGGACTGTTTAAATGATTGACAAGATAAATCACATTTATTTTCTGATGTAGAGTTTAAATTAACAACAACAACAACAACAATAAAACCAACAAAGGTACAATGGCAATACAATATTTTCTATAATAAACAATGTCAAACACAAAATATTAGCGTAGCTTAACTTTACAATACAATAAAAGGTTATTATTTTAATAGTAGCTGTTAAAAAACTGACCTAAGAGAATTCTGACACACAAAAGCAGTCCGCCTTAAAAATAATGAATAATTTTATTTTAATAAGCATAGGTGTTTCCTTATTATGACTTATTTAAAATACATCTTTACCTTTATTGAAAAACTGGATCTTTATGTAACTTGGTAACGAGTAATGGGGAAAAAAGCATTAAGCAACAGGAAAACTAAAGCACTGTTCCCACTACCTCACTTCTTCTTCTTTTCTCTACTCCTAGAATGCCTCGCAGCGTCAGGACAGGAAGAGATCTCTAGAGTGGACCCTTCTGTTCTCTTTATATATAGTACTTTTCTGTGTGGTTGACCTGTATAGCTCTGTTGACAGTGTATCTGAATACCACTGTTCCCAAGAGCTAGACAAGGAAATCCTGCCACTCATGGAGGTTGAACCCAACAGAGTTAGTCAAAGGATTACCTTAACACCTGTCACTAACATAATTTTATGTACATAATATTTAATAAGTTGGCACCTTTCCGTCTGGCAGATTTTAATCCAACCCAAAATAGAACACAACTTTTTTTTTTGGTTTAATATAAAAAAATATAAACATTAAACAAAATTATTTTAAAATTTTGACATACTCTGAAACAAAGCTGACATCAGGTGCCTCTATATGTGCTGGCACCGTGTGGAGATGGGGCAGGGTTCGAGTGTGAGAGGTCGCTGGTAGTGGACCACCAGCTGGAAGCCGTATTTTGTCTTTCTGGGGCACACTTGCCAATGCTCTGTAGAAACAACAAAAGCAATTTTATTATTCAGCAATTTACAGTTAAACCTTTATCAAACATCAAAATCAACAATGTCAACCTGCAACTCAATCTAGGGCTTCAAACATCAAAATTACCAGTGTCAACCTGCAACTTACGTTAATCTAGGGCTTCAAACATCAAAATTACCAGTGTCAACCTGCAAATTATGTTAATCTAGGGCTTCAAACATCAAAATTACCAATGTCAACCTGCAACTCAATCTAGGACTTCATACATCAAAATTACCAATGTCAACCTGCAATTCAATCTAGGACTTCATACATCAAAATTAACCAATGTCAACCTGCAACTCAATCTAGGACTTCATACATCAAAGTTACCAATGTTAATCTGCAACTCATTCTAGGACTTCATACATCAAAATTACCAATGTCAACCTGCAACTCAATCTAGGACTTCATATATCAAAATTAACAATGTCAACCTGCAACCTACTTCAATTTGACAGGTGTAGCAGATACCCCAGCTGTCCTGGCTTGTGTCCCCAGGCGCCGTTTAGCCTCTTCCAGCTGTGTGGTTGGGTTGGGCGGAGTCAGGAGTGGCATAGAAGGATCCTGGGCAAAAGGTTGGCTAGGCAGGATGGTTGTGGCTCCGTTCCATGCAGACAGACCACCACTGCCCCTCTCCACAGAGGTGGACCTGGGAGCTGTCTTAGATTTGGAGCTGGAAAACGGCATGATGAAAAGAGTATTGAACTTCAATGTCAGAATAATATCAACAGTAATATAAAAATATACATTTTAGTGTAAACAGTAATAACAAAATTAACGAAATAGATATGTTAGCATCCAGAGTAATTCAGAAATAGATATTTCAGGGTTGACAGTAATAAAGAATAAATATTTTAGGGTCAATGGTAATATGAATTTAGGGTTGGCGGTAATATAATTTAGGGTCAACGGTAATATGAATTTAGGGTTAAAGGTAATATGAATTTAGGGTCAACGGTAATATGTATTTAGGTCAACGGTAATATGAATTTATGTCAGCTGCAATATGAATTTAGGTCAACGGTAATTGAATTTAAGGTCAAAGGTAATAAGAATTTAGGTCAATGGTAATTGAATTTAGGGCAATGGTAATATGAATTTAGTAATTTTTGCATTTAAGTGTCTCTAAAACTGACTACTTTTGGCACTGATAGCATAAAGAAGGTCTCATCTTCTTATCTTGAGCATTTGCGTTCACAAAAAGAAATCCTCTAATGGCTTTCCTAAAATCATTCATAAATGTGTGGGGGGAAAAAAACAAGAGTACTAGATCAACTCAAGAATATTCTGTGAATTGTGGGAAGGAAAGGCGGCAAAGAATATGTCATGGCCTAGGACTGGGCTTCGACAGCCCACGGCCACATCTGACCTGTGGAGGTTTAACAAGTTGCCCAGGGGTCACTGCTAGGTGTATTATATTAGTGATCTTTCTATGCTTGGGCTGAGCCCTCTGGCCTGTGACAATCCTCATATTCAAAACATTGGCCCCCTGAGTTAACTTAGCCGAATAGCCACGGCCTAAAATGTAGGAGGCAATCAACATTCTTTGGTCATGTGATGAGAAGGAAAAAACTGAAGTACATTGTGATGGTAGGAAAGTTGGAGGGGAGGAGAGGCAGAGGAGACAGAGAGAACAGATGCTAAACTGTTTGACATCATTGCATGGAAGATCATCTGTTTCAGAGTTGATTGAAAGTAAGAACATGAGACAGAAGGTTGTGGATAGAAATGACTACCAATGCCACACAGCATGAGCTTTAAGAAGAAAAAGAAGAATGTAGGAAGGCAAATCCCAACAAAAGTATTTCATATGGCACTGCCAATTACTCATTTTTGTGGTGTAGGAAGGGGTGTCTAACGATTCAGGGTCACATGGCAAGCGCTGTCACCACGGATTGTGCAAGTGGGGATTTGAAATCTGACATGACAAAAAAATTTGCGACCTTGTCGAGGATTTGAACCATGATCCCCGAAACGAGAGCTCAGCGTTCTTACATGTTCAGCCTGCCACTCCCGATCCTACTGGACAACCCTAACTTTACTCTCATCAAGTTTTTAATAACTATCAATTTGTAATCCACAAAATTCTCACAGCCTTGTCTTCATTTTGGTTAGATTTTGACTGCCATCATGAGTTTTCTCTATTTGCCTTTCTTTTTTAGGATATGTATGAGTCCAAAACCATCACTACAGATGGGTTGCTCCCAAAACAGCTCTATGTATGAGTGTTGGTCAAATGTTTTCATTAGTACCTGGATTTGGAGCCCTGAACTGAACTGCTCGACTGGTTGGGTCGGTGAGAACGCTTGTGGGATGAAGAGCTCTTGTCTGTGTCCTGCACTACAGCAGAAACATCATGTACTGTCTCACTATCCAGCATCCACTTCATGACTCTGTAAATAAAGCATAACAAGACATTCAGATGAGCCTTAACAAATCAACCTGGCACTGGTTTTTAATCAAGAAACTGTTCCCAGATCTTAGATTATGTAAGCAGCAATGTGGACAGTGATGTGAGAACAGATAGATAGAGACATTAAAATAATAACACAATGAGGGCTGCGTAGTCTTGAGGCTTGGTGTCCGCCTCAAGTGCTAGAGGTTTCGGGTTCAATCCTCGCTAAAGGCTATTAATTTTCCCTGGTCTCTGGGTAGTGAGATCGGACGTTTGTGTGTATTGCTGCGCACGTTAAAAAATCCCTTGGCAGTTAGAAACAGAAAAAGAGTAGCCTAATGGCACTGCCCGGGCAAAATTTGGAGTTAAAAATCTACTCAAAGTATTTCAGGATCCTCACCGGTGCTACAGAACCTGTGCGCTGTGCTGAGCATCTTCGGACTTCTTCTTCAAGAATGGAGCACTTATGGGTTACTACCTGTGTGCCATGAGTTGATCCGTTGTTCAAACATCAATAAGAACACAAAGGTTTTCTTGCATCCGTTTAAGTGGAAAGAAATACAACAAAGTTTCAAACTTGGAATATTTAACTATGTTAAATCAGTATTTCTGTATGGAGCAGAAGCAGGCAGGATGACTAAAACATTTACTGGTGACTAAAACATTTACTTACAAACATTCATTAAACTGTGACTGCACAAAACAGGACAGCAATGGTATGTCAGAATCCCCACATAAGGCTTACGAAGACAAAAAGATTCCAGGTTTGGTTGATTCTGTATTTTTCTGATAGCCTAAAAAATACCCCCCCCCCCCCCCCCCCCCTCGGGTTTATTTAATTTTTCAAGTCTAGAGTAAAGAAAATTCAGATAAGAAAACTACTCACAGCATTATACAACAGTCATCAAACAAAAAAGAAAAAAACAGCTGGTGGTCAAATATTCTTTACTGTTCCAGTGTACAGATACTAGACCAATCTAATCTCAACGCCAAGTGTTTCCAATAGGGTTCTATTGCATCTCTGTACATCAAATCTGATTGCATTTATCAATTTACATGTAAGTGCCGGCTGACTTGCATTGCCTGAATAGACAGACAGTGTCGAAAGAGTGGCAAAACATATCCCTAAATGGAGATAATTCTGTGTTATGATCAACCAAAAAGACAAAACCTAATTCTTCAACAAGATGTTAGTTTGACTCTGGGTATATGGTTGGTAAGTACTGTGCCTTTAGAGTTATTTACCAAAGTGGACATTGAAACTAGCAGAAGTCATAAACTTTCTAAATGCCCGCACTGTGTAAACAAAAAGAGCCTGAGATAAATTTGAGACTGGCGTGGTTAAAGGTGTGATTAATCTTAAATTCCCAGCAGAGAGATGTACAGTGGGCTTTGTGTCTTTCAGTGAAAATGATACACTTTTGTGCTTTTCTATATGTGGATGTAATTTTTGTAGTTATGCACCTGGCGAGATGCAGCAAAATACACCAAGAAATAAATTATGCAATGTATTGACTTGTGTCAGCATTATTTACATTTGTAATGGGTCAACTTTTTTTTTTAAAACTTAATATCAACACAAAATATTCTATAACATATTATATACACTAAGTCAGAAAATGCATCAACTATTTACTCATCAACATTATAGCTCTCATGAAAGTGGAACGTGTTAGTGACAGCGGTGTAAAGAAACCTAAGCATATTTGAGTAGAAACGAAGAAAGAAATAATAACAAACATGAGAATGGTGTTCAAGTTTCTCATCTGGCCAAGCAGTACGACATGGCTAAATGTATGATCTGTACTATCTTACATAACATGGTGTGCAAAAGGCGCCTAGGTGCCAAAGGAGTGACTTTAACAATAAAGGTCTCAAGTGTAAGAAGAAGCTGAAAACTTACAGTCAGTTTTGATTAATGAAAAGCAGCTTGCTGGAGGTAGTGTTAGCAAAGATATAATATGCGAGAAGGCTCGACTTTTAAATTGGATTATCTGGCAAAAATAATGAATACAAGTGATGCTAGTGTTAACAAATTTAAAGAAAGTAGAGCTTGGTTTGAGAAATGTTGTCAAGAACTGGAATTCATAGTGTTGTTAGGCATGGAGAGAGTGGGGGGGGGGGGGGGGGGGGGGGGGGGGGGGGGGTGGGGGGGTGGTGGGGGGGGGTGGGGGGGGGGGGGGGGGGGGGGGGGGGGGGGGGGGGGGGGGGGGGGGGGGGGGGGGGGAACAGCAGATGCCTATGTGGAGGAATTTGCAGACTTATCAACTCTCAAGGTTATGTATTGCATCAAGTTTTTAATTGCGATGAAAGGAAAAAAAATGTCAAGAAGGATAACCCAAGAGGAAAAAAATCACTGCATGCCACAAACCTATGAAGGACAAGCTTACACGTTTATTGTGGGGCTAGTAACCACTCTGAAAATCAGAGTTTAAATGCAATACAGTGCTAAACAGTAAACTTTTGGTATTGTATATTATAAATAATAATATTTTTGCAACACATAAATTAAGCAAAATAAAATTAAAATTAAAAAAAGGAGTTTCTGAGCTGGACAAATAGATTAACTGGAGTTGCATTAATTGCAATGGGGAAAAAAATTGCTTCGGTTCATGAACAGACATACATAATAAATAAAGTTTGTAAACCCATGTACCATCGTATATACAGACAGATACTATATGAATAATTTACTCATTAGTGACGACAAACAAATTTATATGTACAAAGACAAAAAATATACAAATAATTAACTCTTGAGTTATGATACGGACAATTTAGACACACAAAGACAGAATATAAATGAACTACTAACTTCTCATTGGTGGGGTTGTTCCAGTTTGGAGGCATCTTGACCGACTCCATCATGCTAATTCCGCTGTCGATGTTGCTACTTGTCTCCGAGCACTCTCGAATCGCAGTATCAATCTTGCGATTGCCAGCCCTGCCTCTGCTATAATCCGCACTACAGAAATCCGTCGCGACGTTTGGCACTGGATCTGTCCTCCAGGAGGAAATGCCGCATGTCTGGGCCTCCATCTCAGCAATCGACTTCTTAAAAGAGTCTCGGGATGAGTGGTGATGGTGGTGGTGATGGTGGATGTGACGGTGGGTCTCCGTCCCGCACACTATCAAATTTCTGTCATCCAAGTCATAGGAAATGAAATCTCGCTTCTTGTGGTAACCCCTGGGGCCATAAGCAGCAGACGAAGTAGAAACAGCCAGGGTCTTTCTACGAGCATCCTTGTGCCGATCTGGTGACTTGCTGTGCGGAGGAGAATGTGGGGGTGAGTGGGATGGAGTATGGTGCGTGGAAGATTTCCATATTCTCAAACAGTGCTGGTCAAGAATGCTTTCTGCAGTTTCTTCTTCGGTTGCTGAAGGTAGAGGTATAAATGAAGAAGAATTTGGTTTGGTGAAAGATGTAATGAGTTTCTCCACGCCTTCGGACTTGATCACCTGAAGAAAAAAAAAATGGAAGATAATCATAACACTAGATTCGTGAATATTTATGGTAAAGGTGACTACCAATTTCAGTGCCAGCTAATTAAGTATGCCCACTACACAGAAAACAGATCACCCCACAAGTGGCATGTTTCTGTGCCAATGAAAAGCAGACAGAATGCCAATCGTTGCCTCTAATGACAAAAAAACTGAAACATTAGAAGTGCAGTTCCTCCTCTATGGAAGCAGTAGTTACAACAAATCAGTAGTTGCACATGCAGTCAGTCACACACAGCAAAGAGATAGGCCAGTCATCCCTTTCTGAATCTGCAGTTCACAGCAACACAAACACATTTGGCACAATTTCAAAACGAAATCCATATATCAGTGTCACACCACGCACTCAACTCAGTAACTGAGTGGTGGAACTATATACTTCCAGTACATACAGGTGGAAAATACAACAGTTTACCATATACTTGCCACGACTAAAACAGCTGGCCTGTCTATTTACTGTAACGGACTGTAAACTGTACCAATTGAGTGCCAAATGTCAATGTAGCATACCGAGGAAATGGGGCTAGGTAACATGACCCCAAACAGAACTTAATGAGTGATGTGGTCAGTACAGAGTATAGGCCACTGCCAACTCCTTTATAGACAAGTTCTTTATACCGTCAGATCTGCGGCCAAAATTTCTGTGATAAAAGTGCCAGTTGTGTTCACCCTTAAAAGGGTGACTGTGTTGTGGTTTATAGCTAGGCTGCGATAACTTTTGCATTTCGGCCCAACACATTCACTGTTGGTAAACTTTTAATTAGCTGCCTTTTATGACACGTTTGTTAGAGGGAAGTAGATCTTTCTCTCCCACCCCCCCCCCCCCCCCCCCCCCAACTTGTTTCTCTTCACAATAAGGAGCCCCAGGACCCACATGGAGAGACCACCAGTCTGATGCCAACCCTAGTTACGCCACAGTAAATATCCACAAGACCCTCCCATCAAACTCAACAGAAAGCAACATACAAAAATTTTCCATCTACGAACAGGATACTGGAGGCTCAACTACCACGTGCATAAAATAAAGATTATGTACAGTCCCCACAGTGTGCCTGTCAAACAGGACCACCACAAACACCTTAGCACATTTTGCAGACCTTCCCACTCTACCTACAACTTCGAAAAGACACCGGACCTCAAAGTGTACAGAGCAAGCTATGGGGAACCATGAAGGACCTGCTACTGACATGCGAGTTCATAGAATCAACCTACCTGATGGTCTGATCTGAGCATACGAAACCGAACGCAAAAAAGAAGAAGGAGAAGAAGAAGAAGAAGATAAACTGCCACTATGTCCTCTATTTAACATTTCTGAAGTGTTAGTGCAGGAGGTCTGAGCCTGAGGATTTATGGCCACATGGACTGTGTGGGTTAGGATTTTATTTGAGGCCTCCAAAAGAAAAAAACCATCATCCTGCTGAGAAATCAAACCTGGGTCTCCGGCATGAGAGAGCAGCATCGTTATTTGTGTGGCCAGCCGCACCTCCATCACTTAATAATCCATCCCTTACTTTTTAAGCCCATTCTGTTACTTCAACATTTCCTATTCCTAAATTTGAGTACTTCAAGGTAAAAATGCTGTTCTAATGAGCTAAAGTAAACTAAACAATGAGCTAAAACAGAATGGTTAACTGCTGATTTTATCTCTTCCGGCCACTCCTGCAGACCTTCTCAGACATCTCATTTCCATGGTTACTAATTTTCTTTTCTGATTTGTTGTCCAGCACAGAGTAGGAAAGAATGCACTTTATATGAGATGTTTAACTGTGCTGATCGGGACTGTCTTATGCTGTAAGGAGGAGGCTAACTGTCCCGATAGTTAACTTGCTTTATTGCATATGATGTTAATTTCTTAATCCTATTTCCCATCTTCTGTGAATCTTGTTCCCAGATATTTAAACTCAGATGTCAAACTTGGCTGCTAAAAGAAATGACGTTTAGATGAGTCACTGAGTAATGATGTGCAGAGCAAGAGAAAATTGACAGACAGGAAAACAAACAACTGACAGATCAAAGAGGGGAAAACAGAACTCCAAAAGAGAAGCACAACAACTGGCACTCTCTCGATGTTTGTACGCCACTTCAACAGATACAAGAGCAATAAGTTGAGCTTCCGAAAATAAGTTTACACATCCTTATCTACCTTGCTTACCTTTCAATTCCTGCTATCATTCAGACGCCATTCTATTGAGCCTAATTTAATTATCCTTATCAATGCTACATCCTCCCGGCAGACTTGAATCTATAATTCTCACTAATAGATTTCTTCATCTCTATTTCCCCTGCCCTGCATATCGCTGCACTTACCTCGCTGCTGCAGATGCTTCGTAGTTTTTCTTCATTTCTAGCCATGCTCTCTGCCTCTTCTGACAATCTGCTGAGTTTATCTATTACCAGAGCAGCAAACCTTTCAGGATCAACTTCTGCGACTTTTCTGTCTTCTGGAGCATGCTCTGTTCGCTGTGGTCATAAGGAATAAATCACAATTTTGGATCATAGTCATCCAAAGAAACAACTGAACACTGTTTTATATATATATATATATTCTGAGGATTGTTCTATGTGGTCTAATGTCTTTCACAGCTGATGAGATGCTGTATATGGTCTAGACGTATGAGAAAGTTTTCTGCCTAATGTGGTCCATTTTCTTTCAAAACTGATAGAGATGTTTTACATGGTCCCGATGTATGAGCAAAACTTGTGCATTACAAGGTCTCATTTATTTCACAATTGAAAGGAGATTTTTTATGTCTAGATCAGGGCTATTCAACTAAGCTTACTCTGGGGCCAAAATGTTGACAATGTGGATTGTCACAGGCCAGAGGTCTGAGTCCCAGCATAGGAAGATCATTAATGCGATAAGCAATGATCCGTGGGCCACATGCAAGCCTGTGTGGGCCAGATTTGATCCACATGCTGCCAGAGAAATAGCCCTGGTCTAGATTTATGTGAAAAACGTGTGCATTAGGTGGTCTATTTTTGTTCAGATGTGACAGGAGATGTTTTACATGGTCTAGATTTATGAGAAAGACATGCGCATGATGTGGTCTAGTTTCTTTCAAAATTGGTGGAGATGTTCTTTATGGTATAGATTTAAAAGAAAGACATTTGCCTTCATCTCACCATCTCATCTTGATCCTTCTGTACCTTGCGGTGTCAAAGTCAGGTATAATATATGGGAAAGCCCCCTTTTGTGCGCTTTGTAAATTCACTTTGTCCACGACTTGCACTGGCTGCCTCTTCGCTTTCCACCCTGTCTGTACATCATTGCTTGCTGTGGTATACTGTCTGCTGACATCCCCATGTTTTATGGCCAAAACATTTCACCTGTTGTCTTCTAATGACATCCAGAGCTGCCGCTACCCCCTTTTCCTTCAGATTTCATCGTTTCTGATCTATCTTTTCTTGTTATATTGAGAGCCCTTCATAGGAATCTCATTTCTGCTGTAAATTTTCTTTTTCTCTTTTTCTGTCATTGTCCATGTCTGGCACTGATAACACAGGTTGGGAATAAGACTGTGTCAAAGAGTGCTCTTCTGGTTTCTACTTATACAAGTTTGTTTCTTAGTGCTATTTGCCCAGTGAGTTGGTTTGCTTTCTTACATCTGTCATCAATCTCATCTTCTGTTCTGCCAGCTGATGTTATAAAGCTTCCTAAGTATTTGAAGTTCTTGGTTTGCCTCAATGGGTGTTCTCTAAGCTGGATATTTATTGTTTTGTCTACTCTGGCTATGGCCATGACCTCTGTTTTGTTGAAGGTTAATTTTCATGTTATGCTCTTTACAAATTTTGTTTATATAATTTACATGGTCTTGCAGTTCCGTTTCTAAAGTAACAATTGGTGCTTGGTCATCCACAAATAATAGTTCTTTGATTAAACGGTTTGACTTTGGATCTTCATCTCCTTGGTATATTATAGTCCTTGTTTGGGGGGTTTCTTTACAGATTTTATCAGTGTAAGTTTTGAATGGAAATGGAGACAGGACAGAGCCCTGTCATGCTTAGTCAGTTACTCGTACCATCGGAATTGGAACTCTTCGTTTGCTGCTGAAGATGGGGACTGAGCACTTATGGGAGTGACCTGAGTGCTGTGATGTCGATTTTTAATTCAACACGCTCTAGATTTTATGGTAAATTGTTCCGAGTGTCCTCCGTTTGTTCTAACAGTATATTCACTGTTGTATACATGCTTTTGTAGCGGCGTCTGCGGCTTAGACGTTGCGAGTCTCCGACTCGTAATTCCAACGTACCGCAATCGAAACCCACTGCTGGCTGCATAGATTTTTATCATGTTATGGGGCGTCGCAGGTCGACCCAGCCTAAAATGTGTACCAGGATGGCTGTCCTGGAAAGTAAATATGGCCGGCGTAATGCTGATCACATTACCCACTAAGTGCCGATTGGTCTGTAAAAATATGGGATGCTCTTCCCATATGCCCGATGCGCCTATGGCGTGAACAGGAATCTTTTTTACTTTATACATGCTTTTACATATGCTGATAATATTTATGCAGCAACTTTTAAAGTCTCTCTATAGTTCCTTTCTACTCTGTCAAATGCTTTTTCTTGATCAACGAAGGCCAAAATGTTTCATTAAATTCAATTGATTTCTCTGTAAGTTGGCTGAGAGTAAAAACAGCATCTGTGCATCCCGTATTTTTCATAAATCCTAGTTGTCGCTTCACTTAGCTGGGGATTTGTGCCTTATGTCGTCAGATTTCTGTTAAAACTGATAAGATTTTTTTACATGGTCTAGATGTATGACTGAGAAAGACTTGTACCTTATGTGTTCTACTTTATGACAAACCTGACAAATGATTGTATATGGTCTAGATTTGTGACAGAGAGACTTGAATCTTATGTCATCTGATTTCTGTCAAAACTGATAGATGTTTTTACATGGTCTAGATTTATGACTGAGAAAGACTTGTGCCGTATATGTTCTCATTTCTGTCAAAACTGATAGATGTTTTTACATGGTCTAGATTTATGACTGAGAAAGACTTGTGCCGTATATGTTCTCATTTCTGTCAAAACTGATAGATGTTTTTACATGGTCTAGATTTATGACTGAGAAAGACTTGTGCCGTATATGTTCTCATTTCTGTCAAAACTGATAGATGTTTTTACATGGTCTAGATTTATGACTGAGAAAGACTTGTGCCGTATATGTTCTCATTTTTGTCAAAACTGATAAGATTTTTTTACATGGTCTAGATGTATGTCTGAGAAAGACTTGTATCTTATGTGTTCTACTTTATGACAAACCTGATAGATGATTTTACATGGTCTAGATTTATGACAGTGAAAGACTTGAATCTTATGTCATCTGATTTCTGTCAAAACTGATAGATGTTTTTACATTGTCTAGATTTATGACTGAGAAAGACTTGTGCCTTAGGTGTTCTAATATCAGTTTTGACAGAAATTCTTTTCAGGTGGCCATACTGTTAAATGTTCTGATTTAAATAAATTGCATAACTTTGTTAAGTCACAATCCCCTTCTAATTATTTTATTTCAAAGATGTTTTTACATGGTCTAGATTTATGACTGAGAAAAACTTATTAATTTGTAAATACCCTTTTTATTACATCTTATACCGCCATTATTTTACGCTGTGAAATAAAATAATTAGAAGGGGATTGTGACTTAACAAAGTTATGCAATTTATTTAAATCAGAACATTTAACAGTATGGCCACCTGAAAAGAATTTCCTCGTATTATCTACCACAAATAAGGGAAAGCTTAAGGACAAGACAGAGAGATGGCATGATGAACAACAGCCTTGGAGAAATGAAAACCAACATACAAAGTACATTAGAAATCATACACAAAAGATAGCCGTATGCCATATGAAAAGGTTGCACAGGATAGAATAGAATGGATGAACAAACTGGGAGCCCTATGTGACAAATAAACTGCACAACAAAATGATGATGATGATAACAGTATGATCCTAATACACCTCCCCCACCCCCCCCCCCCCCCCCAGCCAGCAACATGTAAATGTGACGCTACCCAGACACAGAAAACTGTTCAGAAGTTCAATTATTCACTCACAAAGAACCACCAATTACCCCCCCCCCCCCCCCCCCCCACGCAAACAGTGATATTATTAACACACCATTAACATCAACAATCAAAGGTGGCTTTCACTCAGCCCTATCTCCAGTAATACCACTTAAGAGATAAAGCTCTGAAAACCCTCCCCGCCAGCCGGTGGCCTTCAGCATTAACACCAGCAAGCGTGCAATAGTCCCAGCTGCAGTCAGCTTATTGGCAATTATCTGCCCTGTTCATTCTATTGTCAGTGACAATTTTATATGCCAGGTAAAACTTCATGCCCCGATGCCCCATAAACATAAAACATTCATAAAACTGGGACCTGGCTGTTAACACTGGGAGGGAACTGGCTGTTAACACTGGGAGACAGACTAATAAAAGATGGACACATAAAAAATGACTGCATGCATGAAGGCACAGCTGGTGTGCTGGTGATCAGTTCTGTCATCGTTCTAGTTTGATTGTCAAAGGATGTGAGAGCTCCATATAATGTTAATTATAATTTTTATGTTCTGTCATACTGTTAATCATGGGAGCCATTTTTGGGGGTAATCATAAGTGGTTTTGTACTACACGTGAGCTAAGTAAGTAATCTCTCTCTCTCTCTCTCCCTTTCTTTCTCTCTCTTTCTCAATAAGTAAATAAATTTGAAAAAATTAATTCAATGAGCAGATATTTGTACATATCTTGCCTGCCACAAAGGTGTTTGGGTGGTTGACAGCCAAACTGTGATTCTTGGCTTCTTTCAGCCCAACATATCATAATCTCGACTAACTCCTAATTTGTCGACTCTTATGACATACTTTTCAGGGGGGGGGGGGGGAAGAGGAGAGAGAGAGAGGGAGAGAGAGAGAAAAGGGGAGAGAGAGGGGGAGAGAGAGAGAGAGAGAGACTGTCTGATAAAGAGAGAGAGAGATAGAGAGAGAGTTTGGGGGGGGAAGGGAAGAGAGTGACTGTCTGATAAACTGCGAATGATACAATAACATCCAGGTTCAATTTACCAATAGCGGCAGGATTTTTTTTCCCAATCAGTTTGGCTCTAGCTATTATAAAAATGGGTACAGGGAATTTTCAAAAGTTTCTGGAAAGTATCTGTGAGGACAAGTTGACTAAGATGGTAGCTGTCTTCCCTACTTTAATTTTTTGGCTAAAAATATGTTGGCCTTTTTCTTCTTCTTCTTTCTGTTCTTTCAGCTGTGAAACCATTGGCTGAAGTCATTATCTGTATTGTGCCATTGACTTGCTCCCAAGGTACATGGTATAGGGTAGGTTTCAGTTTTGTTTTCATGGATAGATCTGCTTGATATCGTCTTCCAAGACTTTCCTTCCGATAGACAAAGCTGTTACATTTGGGACGTTCCAACGCCAGATCCTCTGCCAACTGTACTGGACTAGTATTATTACTATGCAGCGGGCTCTGGCCCATGACAATCCCCACTTTTCAACATTTTGGCCCTCAAGTAAACCTAGCTGAATGACCCCGACCTATGACATCAAGCAGTGAAGACAATCATAAGAAGATGTGAGGAGCACTAAATCTATACACATACTACACAATAAAAAAACGACCAATCATCTTTTAATTAATGTTCAATGATTTAGTTCGACATTAGTCTCCCCCAAACAAAGTAGGTCAGTTTTCATTGAGAAATTTGAAGTGAGCTAGTGTGTAAGAGTGTGACTGTGTAAATGGGGAGACTAACGTCACGCTAACCATTCAATGTATACTAGACTCAGCATCATGGCCCAATCTATCGCTGTGTTTGTTATTTGACCTATTCTGAGTTAGTATTAATTTTATGTAATCTGTGGCACAATTTCAATATTTGGATAATATCCTGTCCATATTCGAATAGTTTTTGGTTCAGGTATACACAAACACGGCCCCAATGATGACATTTTAGGACTGTCGAACTGGTCACAGTGGTCACTTGGAGGCCACAGGTTTGAGTCCTGGTATGTAACTACAGCTTTCAATACTGATATCATCTAGTGTGTCCTCCTAGATCTACTTCTTTCTATGAGTGCTAATCAAAAGATTTTAATTTGTTTTATTATACTAAATCTCAACAAAATATTCACAACTCTAGAATAGAACATACTGTAACACTTACAGGAATAAAATGTGTCTGCGGATCTATCCGAAATTCTCGATTCTGAGAGGTTAGGCTCTTCATCACAGCTTTCCTGTGGGGCTTTTTGATGAGGAGGTGGGAGCATCCATCTCTGAAACATATAACAAGAGACTGGTCAAAGTTAACAAGTCCAAACACTGACACCAGTTGGAGGGTAGAGCTGCTTGGGGATGTGACCTCTCAATGCGATATATTTTAGAACTGGGCTACCCAAATCTAGCCTGTAGAAACCTAGCAAGTGGCCCTCGGATCATTGCCTGCTATACTGTTTTAATGGTCATGCCGGTGTGTTGGGAAATGAGCAGGCAGATAGACAGACTGGCTCTGCCCCACTTGGCAGTGAACTGATGTATGACAAGTTAGACATTATAAGGGCCCTTCGTGAATGAGTTAACAGTGCGGAGGCGCAGATAGATCATTACGGCCTAAGAAGAATGGTGCTGCGAGGAGTTACCAGGGGATCTGGCTAACGCTCAACACTCCGGGGAAGGATGAGATGGATTTACAATCAGACAGTTACTGGTACCATCAGAACTGGAACTCTTCGCTTGCTGCTGAGGATAGGGACTGAGCAACTATGGGAGTATCTCAAGTGCTGTAATGTCGATTTTTAATTCATAACATTCAACAATGCTCTTTATATGCTCAGGTTCTGGCTCTCTGACTCGGTGAATATCACCATTTTCCAAATTGTGGCCTCTGAGTAAATTACTTATAAAGCCCAGTTTTAGAAGATCCCACCCACCTGGTGCAGCAAGTTCCCTGTGTGCATCTGGGGCCCCATTTTGTGGGGAAGAACAGGCCCACTGCCTTTTTTAACAAGCATGTACAACATATAAGGTGACTAACTGAGGGTGTTTCCTACAATATCAGAGTGAATACGCATTGAGACGAGGAACCAGCTGTCTGCACAAACATCTGTGAAATGGATTTGCACGCAGAATTCACGTTCTGGAACAAGATCAAAGTCAAGAAGTGGACAAACAACCAGGAAATTCCTTTGGAGTTTACAGCTTGAGAACGCAAGAAAAACCACAGGGTGGCCCAATGTATATGCTCTTAGCTGAACAGGTTTGTCTTTTGCTTCTGTTGTATTCGCACCCAAACAGTGGCTCTTTCAGTCACTCGTATCAATCTTCTGGGCTGCAACCTTGCAGCCACAAAAACAAAACCAAAACTGAAAATACAAAACAATGAACCCTAGAATATTATACTTCCCATTATTCTGAGACAGGATAGATTGCAGGGCTGTCGAAGCTGGTACTGTCGTACATGGTACTTCCATTTACATCTGGTACTATTTTACCCTTGCCAAGCAAAACTGTTCTTTTGGTACCACGTCCGATATTTTGGTAGCTTTTAGTTTCCTATCTCCTTGACAATATTACACATTTTTTTAATCGCTCTTCTTTGAAGACTGACAGTAAATGCATCCAAAAGATCAAAGTTTCGGCTCCAGGACATCAACTGCACTAACTAGAAACAGTCCCAGAAGCTGTGTAGGAAACTGGATGTAAAAAATCCACATGGTAAAGCAATGATGCAATGGACAATGAATTTCACTTCTAGACAAATACTGATAGCCAAGGTAATATACACGGTACTTTTAAAAAAAAAAAAAACAAATTTTGTACTATTCATTAAAAAAAGATTCGGCAGCCCTGGAATGACGCCGTCTTCACTTTTCGTTGTGACAACTTAAAGTTTACCGGCTGTAAACTCTAGGGAACTCGCACTTGTGTGAGTGAGCTTCTGTGTAATGCCGTGTGATAACTGTGGTGTGTGTGTGTGTGTGTATATATATACGCGCGCGCGCTTATGCGCGCACCACTTTGTTTCCTGACCTGTCTGATAATTTAAGAGAAAAAGCCTGCCGTGTTTCTGGAATCTTCTTTCCACTCGCAACCACTTTCACCATAAACCTCGAAACAAAACAAACGACCACAACACACGAGTGATGTTTGATGTTTCAGCCCCGTCTTCCCTGTTTCTATATTCTATCCTCTACTTAAACCAAACCCCCCCCCCCCCCCCCACCCTTTTTCTCCACTTATATGTCTTTACAGAGGACAAGTCATTGGCACGCCTCAAGCGATCAAAGAAACTTCAAAGGGCGCCGCGCGGACATCAATCAAAGCAGGGATCAAACAGTTTCAACAACGTACAATTAGCGATGTCCGACATGAAGACAAGCAGGAACTTCCACAGACTGCAGCTGCCTTTGTGCGGGCAGGGCGGCTATTAATTGAGACATCTGAGGCGCTATGGCTTTCATCTGTTTGTCCAGATTTTCTAAACATCAAACCGTTTGGAAAACCTCCTAGCCACACAGTGTCAGGCAATCTCAAGGGCCGTCAATGTATTATGTAACTCCTTGTGTGCGCGCCCTCTCTCTCTCTCTCTCTCTCTCTCTCTTATATATATATATATATATATATATATATATATATATATATATATATATATATATATATATATATATATTCATATGTGTGTGTATCTTATCTTTTCTGTAGCTGTTTTATTCTCTTTCACAGTTCCAACTAGCTCCATATTCTGTCTCTTCTATTTTTTCCCTTGTTCTCTCCTTTTATAGTGTTCTCTCTTGCTCTCCTCCAAATTGTGCTCTCTTTCACAGTTATCTCTATCCTTTCTTCTCTAGTTCTCTCTTGCTATCTTTACCCATGCTATCTTCATCACTTGCTTACCTAAACCCCATCTCTTTCTCCCCTAACTATTTCTTAACACTTTTTTTTATTTCTACCTTTCCATTCCCTAACTCTATCTCTTTCCCAGTTACCTCTCTTCCTTAGTTATCTCCATCTTTCTCTCTTCCCCAGATAGTTATCTGTATCTAGTTCCCTAGTTATCTGGACCTCTCCCTTCCCTAGTTATCTGCACCTCCCCCTTCCCTAGTTATCTGCACCTCTCCCTTCCTAGTTATCTGCACCTCTCCCTTCTCTAGTTATCTGCACCTCTCCCTTCTCTAGTTATCTGCACCTCTCCTTTCGCTAGTTATCTGTATATATCTCTTCTCTAGTTATATGTATCTCTCTTTCTCTTCCATAGTGCCCTCTATATATTCTCTTGTCTAGTTATCTCTACCTCTCACCACTAGTTATCTCGCACTCTCTCTTATCTAGTTATCTCTACCTCTCTTTCCTAATTATCTCTACCTCTCTCTTTTATCTCTAGTTATCTATACACCTTTCCTAGCTATATCTCTCTTCCCTGGTTATCTCTCTTTCTCTCTTCCCTAGTTATCCCTCTCTCTTCCATATTTATCTCTACCTCTCTTTCCTAGTTATCCCTCATCTTTTACAGTTATACAATGGCTGTGTGAAAGATGGGTGTTTAGAATAGTCCAGTGTGAGACGAGCCTGCGTGCCCAATTTGTGACCCTTTGTAAATAAAGTATGTTTTCTCTCTTCTCTAGTTATTTCGACTTTTTTCCTTCTCTAGTTATTTATGGTTTTTCTCTAGTTATCTCTATCTCTCCCATTTCCCTAGTTCCTTAGTTATCTCTCTTTCCTATTTTTATCTCTCCCTTAGTTACCTCGACCCTTCTACACACTATTATTTCTATCTCTCTTCCCTAGTTATATCATCCTCTTTCTTGTATCTCTCTTCTCTAGTTATTTCTACCTCTCTTCTTTTATTTTTTTAACGTATCCAGAAACCATGAGTTGTAAACCCTTTGGCTCGGTACTATGGATATCGCAACCCTTCGGTCTTGATTCCATTATAGGTACCGTTAATCTGGGAGAAATGTGGCTTTTCTGCCTACCTTGGGAGTGAACCCGGACCACAAGGAGTTCGTCACCCGGCCGCCGCGAAAGTCACGTTTAACCAACTTCGCTAGAGAGCCGGCCCTATTCCATATTATCTGTCTTCTCTAATCATCTCTCCGTCTTCCCTAGTTATCTCTTCCTCTCTCACCTAGTTACTTCGAACTCTCTCGTCTCTAGTTATTTATATTTCCTCCACGGTTATCTCAACATCTCTCTTCTTTAGTTATCTATATCTTTCTTCCCTGGTTATTTATCTCGCTATCTCTCTCTCTTCCCTAGTTATCTTCCAAGTTTTTCTGTCTTACCTAGTAATTTCGACCTTTTCCTTCTCTAGTCACTTCTGTCTCTACCCTAGTTATCTATACCCATTTTTTCCCTAATTATCTCTAGCTCTCTTCCCTAATTATTTAGACTTCTTCCCTCTCTGGCTTTTATATTCATTTTCTAGTTATATCGACCTCTCCCTTCTCTAGTTATCTCTCTCTTTCTCTCTCTCTAGTTCTCGCTCCTGAACATAGAGGTCCTCGGGGTGAGGTGGCCAACCCGCCTGGCTGACGCCCTTAAGGTGGTGGGTTCGTATCACGGTCGCGTCGCTCAGGTTACCAGTGCCGCATTAACAGAGATCCTTGTTGATCATTTGCTGGAGCTAAGGAGTTCGTGCTTTGTGTGATGTGATTCTGCGAGGAGAGATACGGCCATATGGGATAACCTGGTGCAATGAAGCTGATCATCTGGACTTTCAAATAAACCGTTTAAGGCGACCGGGAGTGGTATTAATCACATAACACATCCAGTGCTGATATATTTTCGAGATACGAACAGCTGTCTAAACAGCGCCAGGCCTTTTCTGTTCGTACACGAACAGATATGCCTGCGGACAGTCCAATGCGTCTGCGCCCACACACGAACACAGGCACACACAAACTTATTACACATGCCAGGGTTCCCAATTTGGCCTTTTAATGCTATATTCAACCACTTTGGCCCTTTATCGGGAAATGTTTGACCTAAACAACTATGTCCTTTGGCCTATTGTTTGCATATTCCAAGTGCAATATCCCCCCCCCCCCCCCCTCCTTTTTTCTTTCTGACTTTGTCGGTTCTGATTGGGCCGATTTTGAAGAAAAAAAATCTGCTTAGTACTAAATATTATGGAAAGTAATACCACGTTATTAACTTTTACTCCTGCCTCGAGATTTTTTTTTTTTCTTTTGCCTTAGCAATATGCTTCTGCTGGCTTGCTCCCCCCCCCCCCCCCCCCCAAGTGTTTAGCCAATTTTGTCAATTCTGAGCTGGCAACTCTGATGAGAGTTCCCCGCCTTTGAAGTCTAGAAAGAAAAGCTAGCTACCGTATTCGCCAACAGGTGGAAACAAAATGAGACCAGGTAGATAGCACGAGGCCGAGCTGGTTCTCTCCAATTGCCCGGCTCAGTCGTCATTAGATCCCTAATGCATGCAGCACAAACAGACAATTTGTAAGACGACGGATTTCGGGGTGGGGAGGGGGGGGGGGGGTTTTAAAATCCTGAAAACACATGCGCGCACTGTCAGATCAGTGTTGCCACGTTGGATGTTTTACATCCAGATTTAGAGGTTTTCCATTGCATTTAGATGGCGTTTTTGACGTTTAGATGGTAGATGTCTTTCTACATGTTTTTATTTGGAGTGAATTTATCAAATCTAACCTAAAATAGGATGACATTTGACATCTTAAATGCTATCTTGACAATAAAATTCGGCCTGATAAAAGTAGGAAAAGGCTTTTCCACTTATCAGCTCCCTGACTGGGTATTAAAAGAAACTGGAACAGCTAAAGTATACCAGAGTCATTTTGGATCTGAAGCTTCAACTCCATCATCCAAGCTAAGTTTATCCTGTGGATCTTGTAAGGCAGACTTCAGTAAAGATGTGGACATGATTTAGGGTAAGTCCAATTGCTTTGTAATTTGTGGCTCTTTCCATTTGGATGTTTTTTTTCTAGATGTTTTCCACACAAATTTTTTTGACTCCGTTTTGGATGTTTTTTGTCAAAGAAAAGTGGCAACACTGTGTCAGATTGGCAGAAGGCCAGGACTACTTAATCTCAATGGCAGAGCAACTCTTTTTTTTCCCCTTGGCGTTCAATAGCTGCACACTACAGCCGACAGTTCTGGGTGTTTGGTCCATCTCGGAACTGCGGTCTTGTTCCAGAACCTGAGTGTTGCATGGACATCTGTTACGGTATACCACATATGCACAGCGGAGTTGGTACACCACGTATATTCACACACGACTGTCTGGAGATGGTACACCATGTATATTCACACACGACTGTCTGGAGATGCTTCACCACGTATATTCACACACGACTGTCTGGAGATGGTACACCATGTATATTCACACACGACTGTCTGGAGATGGTACACCACGTATATTCACACACGACTGTCTGGAGATATATACACACCACTGTATATTCACACACACACTGTCTGGAGATCGTACACCACGTATATTCACACACGACTGTCTGGAGATGGTACACCACGTATATTCACAAACTACTGTCTGGAGACGGTACACCACGTATATTCACAAACGACTGTCTGGGGATGGTACACCACGTATATTCACAAAAGACAGTCTAGAGATGGTACAACACGTATATTCACAAACGACTGGAGATGGTACGCCACGTATATTCACAAACGACTGTCTAGAGATGGTACACCACGTATATTCACAAACGACTGTCTAGAGATGGTACACCACGTATATTCACAAACGACTGTCTGGAGATGGTACGCCACGTTTATTCATTCACACACGACTGTCTAGAGATGGTACACCACGTATATTCACAAACGACTGTCTGGAGATGGCACGCCACGTGTTAATTCACAAACCACTGTCTGGGGATGGTACACCACGTATATTCACAAACGACTGTCTAGAGAGGGTACAACACGTATATTCACAAACGACTGTCTGGAGATGGTACACCACGTATATATTCACACACGACTGTCTGTATATTCACACACGACTGTCTGGAGATGGTACACCATGTATATTCACACACGACTGTCTGGAGATGGTACACCACGTATATTCACACACGACTGTCTGGAGATGGTACACCACGTATATTCACACACGACTGTCTGGAGATGGTACACCACGTATATTCACAAACGACTGTCTGGAGATGGTACACCATGTATTTTCACACACGACTGTCTGGAGATGGTACAATTCACACACGACTGTCTGGAGATGGTACACCACGTATATTCACAAACAACTGTCTGGAGATGGTACACCATGTATTTTCACACACGACTGTCTGGAGATGGTACACCACGTATATTCACACACGACTGTCTGGAGATGGTACACCACGTATATTCACACACGACTGTCTGGAGATGGTACACCACGTATATTCACAAACAACTGTCTGGAGATGGTACACCACGTATATTCACACACGACTGTCTGGAGATGGTACACCACGTATATTCACAAACGACTGTCTGGAGATGGTACACCATGTATATTCACACACGACTGTCTGGAGATGCTTCACCACGTATATTCACAAACGACTGTCTGGAGATGGTACACCATGTATATTCACAAACGACTGTCTGGAGATCGTACACCACGTATATTCACACACGACTGTCTGGAGATGGTACACCACGTATATTCACACACGACTGTCTGGAGATGGTACACCATGTATATTCACACACGACTGTCTGGAGATGGTACAGCATGTATATTCACAAACGACTGTCTGGAGATCGTAAACCACGTATATTCACACACGTATCTGGAGATTACACCACGTATATTCACACGACTGTCTGGAGATGCTTCACCACGTATATTCACAAACGACTGTCTGGAGATGGTACACCATGTATATTCACAAAAAACTGTCTGGAGATCGTAAACCACGTATATTCACCACACGACTGTCTGGAGATGCTTCACCACGTATATTCACAAACGACTGTCTGGAGATGGTACACCATGTATATTCACAAAAAACTGTCTGGAGATCGTAAACCACGTATATTCACACACGACTGTCTGGAGATGCTTCACCACGTATATTCACAAACAACTGTCTGGAGATGGTACACCACGTATATTCACAAACAACTGTCTGGAGACGGTACAGCACCAACACGATGCAGCCATGGTCCAGTAACGATATGATGTGCATATAATACACACACACACACTACTGTCCGGTGGGGATACACAATCATAAACTGATAAACTGGCTGTTTGAGAACACCCACCCACCCACTACTGACGTATACGCCACACACACGTCTATCAAGTGGGCGGATGCACAATCATACACTGGCCTTTTCCACATACACACACTGGTAGGTTGCTGTTTGGTGACGACGCCTACACCCCCTCCCGCGTGGGTTCCGGGCCCTTTTATAGGGAAAACAAGAATAGACCCACTGCCTACCCAAAAAGTCGCAGTGCATCTGCCTGAGAGACAAATCTGTCAAACAGATGGTACACGCAACACTATGGTTCTGGAACAGGACTGCAGTCCAGAAGTGGATGAACAACCAGAACTTTCCGCCAGAATTTACAGCTGGTGAACGCGAAGAAGGAGGAGGAAATACACTGCCATTTTACCACATACACACACACTGGTAGGTTACTGTTCGTAAACGACGCACTTATGTCCGGGTACAGCACAGATATACTTACACGCTGCTATCTGTGACAGAGATGGTATCGTCTGTGAGGGCGTCACTGGACAGACTCTGCAGTTCACTGTCCTGGGCTGAAACTGGGGCAAACGAAATGTGACCCGGGTAGGGTGGCGTCTTTGATCTGTACAAACTGGGCCTACGGCAAGAAAGACAATCAACAGGTGTACAACAACAAAGGCGGCATTAATATGTAGGCCAATAAATGAAAGGCAAATCAAGCAATCAACCCGGTGCCCTCTCGGCAATGAACGACCGCAACAGACTCCCACCCCCAACACAATTCTCCGTCTCTTGTCTGGGGGGGGGGGGGGGGGGGGGGGGGAAGGGAGAGCCGTGGTGAAGTGATCAAGCCGTTTGCCTCGCGCTCTGAAGGTCGTGGGCTCGTTTCACGTCGGGCGCCGTTCAGGTTACGGGTACAGTTTTTACGAAGGACCCTGGTGATCGTCGCAAGAGCTACGTAGGTTGTGCTCCGTACGACGCTCTCGACAGGCGGCTAGCCGATCTGCGGTTGAGAGACCGAGAAATGTGGGATACACTCGGTACAATGAAGTCGATCCTCTCTTAACCTTTAATGTCTAGGTAACAATCTCTCAAAACAGTTGGTTCGCGTGTCAGTTGCGCACTAGCGGTCACGAGCAAACCGCGCCTGCTGCTCGTGGGTCCTAGCCATCTAGTTTAGCCCCATTCCACGCCGCGTGAGCGGCGTGTGGGATACGTGGCAGTGGCGATAGTCGCCGGAAAACCGCAGGAGAACCGCTAATTAAGTCACGCGACTGTGGCTCGAAAGGATATTTTGCGGCCGCCATATTTGCCGACCGTTAGTTGGAGGATAGCCATCTTTTTTTTTTCTAACTCCTTCCAAGTGTATCCTTGCCTGTCTCATGCTTTCTGTCCTTAAACTCGGTGATTCCCAAACTGTGCGCCGAAATACAAAAAAAAAATTTAAAATGTATATTTTTTTTTTTAGTATCCAGAAGCCATTAGTTTGAACCGTAGGCTCTTCGGAATTGTGGATATCGCAACCCTTCGGCCTTGATTCCATGATAAATACCGTAAATCTGGGAGAAATGTGGCTTTTCTGCCTAACCCCGGACGACAAGGAGTTCGTCACCCGGTCACCACGCAATCCGGTTTAGCCAACTACGCTAGCGAGCGCCGTAGAAAAATTGTATTTAAAAAAAAAAAGCGCCGCGATAAGAAAGTTTGGGAAACACTGCTTTAAGTTTTCCCTCTAGTGTGATTTTTTAAAAGTGTTCTGACGTTTAATGTGGCTGAAATATTTCATTTATCTCTTCTTTATTTAATTCTGTAACTTTATTGTTTTTTATGACCAGCCTGTTCAGAACCTCAGAAAGTGTGTTTGTTGCCTTCACACACGACCTATGCTTCTGCATACCCAGAAATCCAGAGATAATTAATTCCACTTTCTAACTGTCTGTTTATTTTTCGACTTTCTGGGGGAGTGCTTTAAAGCCCCGACCACACAAATTATGTAAGGCCGTGAGTGGGGGGGGGGGGTCTCCAGAAACCATGAGCTTTGGCTCCGAACTTTGGATATCGACCTTGATTCCATGAGAGATACCGTATTTCTGGGAAATATGTGGCTTTTCTGCCCACCCGCGAGCGTGAACGCGGACAACAGGGAGTTCTTCACCCGGTCGCCGCACCGATGGTTTAACTAACTTAGCTGGCGCGCCGGGCAGAAAATATCTTTAAAAAATTTAGTGCAGATCCCCACGACCCTAACGAGTCCAGGGTTATGTTATGTAACGACCACACCAATTATGTGAAACCTGCAGTCTTATGTGAATAAGGACAGGACGTTGGTCATTCCCATTTTCTTGTTGATAGCCATCTGCACTTCTACCATGTTATCTGTGACAATGTACCTATGATACCAGAAACTTGTTACTTGGTCTAAATACTAACCAAAAGAAACACAAAACCAGAAAACAGCTAAAAGAAACCCACAATTAAAATATTACCTAGGGATTAAAACTGGTTGAACAATGTAGATATCCATCTGAAAAACACCATCAATTAAAGTCTTTAGGCCAGGGGTCTCCAACCTGGGTGTGGGGGGTGGTCCACCCCAGGAGGGCGTAAAGAGGTTTCACCCGGAAAGGGGGGGTGCTTGTCATGCAATTTTAAAATGAATGCATTTGTAATAATCTGTTATATTATTTTTTTTTTTCTGTTTAACAAATAAATAAAATAATTCAACGTTTTTAAAACAATTTATAAAACAAAATCCCAAGAACATTTTGATTTCATTTCGTAAGCAGTTTGTATATATATGGTTAAAAATCTAAATAATGTGACAACACAGGCCTTTAATTAACATTAAGAACGCATTACGACCAAAATTTTAATTATTCTTTAAGAACGCATTATGACCAAAATTTTAATTATTCTTTAAGAACGCATTATGACCAAAACGTAATGTAACCCTGTCTGTTTCCTTTGCTGTGAAACCCACTGTTCTCTTTGTAATCACAATTTGCTATGGGGGAGGGGCCGGCATGGGGGATCTTGCATATACTCAACAACAACAAAACAAGACAATAATCGCTGTCACCAGAGACAAACATCTCCTGCATGTTCACAGAAAAAGTAATCTCTTAATCATACAACAGTGCATAACACTATCTGAAAATAGCAGCCATTACTGTTAACTCTCTCAGACCCGTCATGCAGCGACAGACTGGCTAAGTTTTTAGCTAACCCGATGAAGTGAAGGATCCCCTTTGAGGTCATTGGCGCACTGGGCAAAGGAGATCATTGACTTTTATCCTTTGAAGACTGAGCTTTTTTTGAAGTTTTAGTGCCAAGAAGAGCATTCAGGAGGGGATTCTCTTAGTTTACTCACACAAAACTGATTAAAAATTAAGTGTTTAACTAACATATAAAAAAATCTATATATTTTCATGTAGGAAATCGAATCAAAGCCCATGTAGTCCTTCCAGACTAATGGTTCTACCTGCCTCCTAATATATTTCGGTCGCTATGACGCATCAGTCCTTTTCACCACTGTTGGGCATAGGTAACACCCCAAAAAAATCAATGTAAAAATTACAGAACACAACCAACTTTCATGAAAGCTGTCACTGAACAGCACACATGTGCAAAAAATGCCAGAAGCAATCCGACTGGCTGGTATGAAGATCAGCCAGCCAATCTCAAGAGCTAATATTACTAACCTGACAGATCAGCCCAGCCGTCTTTTTGGCTATTTTGGGCCAAGAGATCAGCCTAGTCATGCCCAAAGGGTTGATAAACAATGTGGCCTTGATGGTAATGTGGTCACTCTAGCCAACTTTACTTTCCATGAAATCTACCTATTTTAGACTGGTTCAACCTGGGAGTCAAGGTTACCATAATTATAACAAATCTGTCCCAGCACAGATTCGAAACCAAGACCTTTAGGCTAACAGGCAGGCATCCTGATGATGTGGTACCCCTTAAACATTAGACAACAGTTTTAAACGTTAATGATCTTTCAGCAACTTAACAATATTAAAGAAGTCTCTAAAAAAGTGTTGTATTTGTCACTGTATAAGAAGATGATAACAGATGTTATGTGAACAGAATTATACAACAGGAATGGATTTTAATTGTTCCTTAAAATATCCCCTGTGGCCCCAGAAAAAAAAGTGGGGGGGGGGGGTGTCCATTGTCACCTAATAATCATGTTGTAAACAGCAGCATTAGTAGTTTGTCCTTTTAAGTCATGCAAGGAACCAACAGTCTGCATATAAATAAGCCAGATATGTAAAATGGATGTGCACACAAAACTCAAGTTTTAGAACAAGTCCAGAAGCGGATGAACAACTAGAATGTTCTGCCAGTTTACAGCCAGTGGGCGCTAAGTAAATGAAGACGACTCACAAAAGACAAGACACTTATTAAATTACAAATCTGCACACACAACACTTACCTCGCAAGAGATTCTGTGGGACAAGCAGTAACTCCTGTCTCTGTCTTTTTAACATCGAAACATGTCTTACTGATCATAAGAGGCAAAGCAGAACTGTTGAAGTCCTTACTATCCAACTCTTTATCTTCATAAACAATTGGCAGAAGACCTGACTGAGACACTGGCCTGGCACTGTTCGACCCACTTGACTGGCTGGATTTGGGGCTGTCCATGTAATTCTGAACATATTGCACATAAACACTGGACCTCAGGAAGGCTGGATAAGTCTCATTTCTCATGTAGTTCTCCACCTCATCCTGAGCCGCATCAAAAATACAGGGATCTATTGAATTTTTACCAGAAATCCTCTCAGCAATTTCCTTTCGCACTTCTTTGGAGATGCACCTGACTTTTTCACTGCGTACGTAACGCTTGTAAATGGCCTTCTGTATGTCTGATGTCGTATGATCTGATGAGTTGGCAAGGTCCTGTTTTCGTTTCTTAAAGCCTTGACATGCAAACCAGAACTGAAGCTCTTCTGACCCATCAACCAGTTCATGCTCCAGAAAGTCTCTGAATAACATGACCCCTTCTGAATCATTTAAGAGGTAGTTCAGATTCTCTGCCCATTTGAGGTGGGGTGGTGTGCCATTTTCAGAATAATGAGGTGAATCGGCTGTGCTTCCTTCTGGTTCAAATCCCAAGGGAGCTGATGCATCGCCATCCTCGCAGTCATAGTGGCCGGCCTGAGTATTACCTGTCATGGCCTCCAATACCTTGACACTTTCCAGGTTAGACCTGCGAGGTGTTGCAGGTGAATGTAACATGTCTCCCTTTGTAGAAATTCCACTCTTGGAAGATGAATGTGACTTTGTCGAAACATGACTCTTGTGGGAGTTGCTGCTCTTCGTGGAGTTGCCTCCATTGGACTGGAGTTCATTCTCTTCCCCATAGGTAGGTGGGCGAGGTGCCGTTTCTGTAAAGTTGCTGCCACCTGACTCTTTCAAGAAGTCAACAACTTTGGCCGTCATGGCTGAGCAGCAAGCAAGATATCATGAGGCTCAGAGAACCTCACAAAATCTACCTGCTTATACTCATTACCTCCATCTGCAAAAACAAAAATATCCATATATTTAAAATTATTCATTGTAAAATCATGGTAAATAATAAAATTACCAAGCAAAACAGCAGCCACCCTCCCCCCCCCCCCCCCCCAAAAA